GCACACAGATAGAACCCAGGACTCAGGGCTGCATGTGTGCTGGGCAGGTACTCTACCAGTGAACTACACTCCAGCCTTCTATGAAAGAACTTTAATTCTTTTTTGTGACCTCATTAAATGTTTTGTTTCATTGAAATTAGATTGCAGTCTAAAAATACTTTGTTTCATTTGAATCTGATGATATATGCTATTCATTAAACTTTATATATTTTTAAAATATTTTTATTATTTTTATTTTATGTGTATGTAAGTATACCCATGTTGTGCAATGCTCATGGAGGTCAGAAGAAGGCATCAGATCCCCTTGAACTGGAGTTACTGATGGTTGCCAGCTGCCATATTGGTGTGGGAATTGAATCCAGGTCTTCTGCAAGAATAATAGCCAGTGCTCTTAACTGCTGAGCCATCTCTCCAACCCCTAAACTTTTATTTTTATACATAAAATAAATATATGTCCAGTTCTAGACTGTAGCTCAGTGATTGAGCCCTCACCTGCCATGTGTGATGACCTGGAGTCAATCTCCAGTGCTGCAAAAAATTAAAATATGTTTGTTTTGTTTATAATTTTGTAATTTTTTTTATCATATTCTACATTTGCAACCAATAATTTGTCTATGAAGATGTGCATGCTTTATATTTAAAAATATTTATTATTCTATGTCTGTTATAGAAAATGAGCAACACTGCTGTAGGAGCTGATTTTCTCTAGTTCGGTAGTTGATTTGATCTCTGTGTGTTTTCTCTTGACTTCTATCTGATCAGCCATTTTTTATTTATTATAATCATAAAATATAAAGGAAGTAGAAGACAACACAGAATAATCACTTTCACTGTACAGCTAGTAGCTGTGTTGTAACTTCTGGTTTGGGGGCTGGAGAGATTAAGAACACTGACTGCTCTTGCAAGAAGACCCGGGTTCGAATCCCAGCACCCACATGGCAGCTAAGAACTGTCTGTAACTTCAGTTCCAGGGGATCCAACAGCCTCTTCTGTCCTCCACGGGCATTGCACGACATGTGTGTACTTACGAGCAGGCAATACATGCATACACATAAAAATAATAATTTAAAAAAATTGGTTTTGTGTTATAGGTGGTTTCAGTTTTGTTTTAATTTTTATTAGCATAATGTACAGATTAGTTTTTGTACATTTCCATACATGTATATGACCTACTTTAATCACCACCCCGCCATTATTCCTTATCAGCATTTTATTTTATGTTCATTTGTAGAGAGTTGGACAAATAAACATTGACTCCTTATTTTGCTGCCAGTGTGTGGGCTGTTTTATTCCTAAGCCTTCAGTTTTATCATCTGTGAAGTGAGAGGGTAGTTATCCTTATCTCATAGTTCTGAGTTTGAGATAACTTCATTCATTCATTACTTTCTCAAATGCTGTAGTGTCTGTTAACATGTTACATGATAACATGACTTGATAATGTTAATGTTGATTTTTCCTATTTTTGTCTTAACTGTTTTAAAATTTCTTTCTAGGTGCATGCAATCAAGATGACTGGATTAACGCAGTGAGGCCAGTCATAGAAAAAAGGATACAAAAGTAAATGCTCAGCTAATATGGTGTAATATTCTGGTTTTTAAGGTTTTTTTTTTTTTTTTTTTAAATTAAATTTTTTTTTCTTTAATGGTGTATGTTAAACAGCTAACATCTTCTCTTGGTTGAATTAATGTAATCAGAAAATTTATTTCAGAAAATCTCTAAATTTTGTATAGCACAAGTAAACATGCTGATCTCCATTAAGTGAGATTTGGTTTTTTTGCAGTACAGGGGATTGAACCTAGAGCTATAGGCATGCTAGGCAAGCATTCTACGGCTGAACTACAATATCAGTGCTAAGTGAGCTGTTCTACTACTAGATATATGTACAGATATTTTTAGTGTTGTTTTGTTTTTGAGGATTTCTTGAAAGTTTTTATTTTGAAATAATTATGTGTTCAATTCCGTTCTAATAAGTAATAGAGATTATGTGTACTGTTTACCTTATAGTCTTACAAACCTATAGTATGTCACAGCCAAGATACTGATATTGATACAGATGATACACAGGAAAATTCCATCACCCCGTGGATCCTTCATGTTGCCCTTTCTTAGATAGAGTCACTCCCTCTGCCTCACATCTACTTTTCCTCTTTATACCTTAATCCCTATTTCTGTATTTTCTCATTTGAAGACTTTGATATAAATGGAATCACACACTGTGTCATCTTTTTACATTAGGTTTTTTTATTCAACACAACACGAGAGGATTTTGTTGTTTCACGGGGCTAGGGATCGAACCCACGTCCTCCTGTACACTGAGCTTTCACTGTCCCACTGACTCAGTCCCAGCCACAGTTCAATTTTTAGTGAGGAATAGTACCCTACAGTATGGAAATACAATTCTTTTTGCCTCTTCACTCATCGAAAGATACCCAGATTATATCCACTTGGGTGCTATTATGCATAAATCTCAAACAATTTTGTAGAGACTTTTGTATAAACAATGAATTTTTATTTCTTTGGGATTAATGGCCAAGAGTGCCATATCCATGTTTATGGTAAAATGCATGTTTAGTCATTTGTTTTAGAAACCAGCAGACTCTTTCTGTAGTTGATAAACATACCATTTTACCTTTCTTCCATCAAAGTATGAGTTTCTGGTTCTCTGCATCCTTGCTAGCACTGGTGTTGTAAAAAAACATTTTTTTTTTTTTGACCACTGTAATGTTTCATTATGATTTTTCTCTGCATTTCCCTCTTGACTGAAGATATTGAAATCTTTGCATGCCTTTTGCTCACTGCTTAATCGAATGTTTCAAATTTTTTACTTTTTTTCTTTGTATGTGTACCTATGTTTGATCATAAATTATCCCATATATTTTCTCACAGTCCATAGCCCATCCTCCCAACATAGTGCTTCATCGAGCAAAAAGTCTTAATCCTAATGAAAACCAGGTTATCGATAATTCTACTATGATATGTTTTTGTTGCCAAGTGTAAGAGGCCTTTTCCTGGCCCTACATTTCATTTTGTTTATTTTAAGAATTATAGTTAACTATTTTTCACTTCAAGTCTGTGTTTTGAGATGTTTTGTATATGGTGTGGTATTTAGGTTGTTTGTTTCTTTAACTTGTGCATATTCAATTTCTCTATCCATCAGGTATTGAATAGGCTATCATCCTCACTGAATTTCTCCCATACTTTTGTTAAAAAATAATTTGGATGCTGGGCGTGGTGGCGTGCGCCTTTAATCCCAGCCTTTAGGAGGCAGAGGCAGGTAGATCTCTGTGGGATTGAGGCCACCCTGGTTCACATTGTAATTTCCAGGTGGGCTGTGACTAGGGAGACCCTGTCAAAAGACAGCAACCACAATAAAAATTGGGTATATTTGTGTGATTCTATTTCTGGGGTCATAATTGCTTGTATTAATCTATTTGTCTTTCTGCAATACTATGCAGTCTTGATTACTGGAGCGCTAAGCCTGGTAGACTAGTGCCTTATGATTTCATTTCCTTCATGACAAACTTGTCCTTAGCTATTTTAGTTACTCTTTCTCAAACACATTTCAGTGTACTGTTTTCTTCAAGGTTACAAAGTTCTTGGGAGACAGGAATTTTAGGAAACATTTGTAATAATTTGAGAATTGTTACTTCTATTGTGTTCAATCTTTCAATCCTTGATTAGAATATATGTATATTTACCTAGATCTAATTTCTTTCATCAGTATTTTTCGGTTTTCAGCATGTAAGTCCAACATTTGTTTTGTTCTAATTACTCAAGCACATATTTTTGAGTGATATAAATGATACCATACTTTAGTCTTTGTTTTCTATGTGATCTTTGCTGATTCATGGAAAGCTAATTGCTTTTTTTCTTCTTTGTTCTAAGTGATACTTTGTTCTAAGTTTATACTTTGATCTAAGTGAATATACACATATTCTAACATTTTCTATGTAGATAATCATTTGCAAAAAAGGACAGTTTTGAATTTCTCTGTTTCTTTCATTTTATCCATTTTGCTTTATGTGTTTCCAGTTCAGTTGTTTGGTGGATGCATGTTATGATCAGTTCATTTCCTCTTTAAGAATCAATGTTTTTATTAGAATGGAATGTCTGTTTCTATAATTTTCTTTGCCATGAATGAAGTTTGTCTAATCATATAGCCATGCTTGCTTTGTTTTTATTAGAAAATATCTTTTTATATCCTTTTATTTTCAACTTGCCTATGTCATATGTGAAATGAGTTTCTGGTAGGCAACATATATTCAAGTGATGTTTTCTAACCCACCCTACCAATCTCTTACTTACTATATTGAGATAATTTGTGTCAAATGTAATTGACATAAAACTATGTATAATTTTGCTATTCATTTTTTTGTTTTTCTATTTTATTTCACTTATCTATTTTCCGTTTCTTACCTTCATAAAAGTTACTTGCATATTTTTTAGAGTTCTATTTTTATTCATTTTATTAGTTGAAACATTTTTAGAATATTCGGTGTAGTTTTTAATGGTTTCTGATCAGTCTGTTGGTGTCAGCATTTTATTAGTTTGAGTGTAATGTGGAGACCTTACCTTCCTGTGTGTACTTTTGCTGTACTTATTACTTTACAGGATTCCTCTATGTATATTTTAGACAAACATCAGCTAGAGGAACTTTTGCCTCAGTCGTGAAACACTTTAGAAAACTCCCAGAGAGGAGACATGCACTGAGTACGGCTGCACTTGTACCTCTCCCTGATGCCCCACCATTCTTTTGGTTATTCACATTGTTTATTTTAGAGAGCCTCCATTAGCTGTTCTCTTAGGCTATGTCCCCTGTCTACTTTCTTTTTTCTTCTTCAAATATTGTATTTTTCTTTCATTTCTGAAGAAAATGACTAGATATGGATTGCTTAAATGATGGTCTTTTCAGTGCTTGGAGAAAGTAGGGCCCCTTCTGCACTCTGCCCTCTGGCTCCTGATGATAAACCCAGTGCCAATTCCTTATGGGTGTGATATTTTCCTCACGCTCCTCTCCAGATGTTTTCCTTCATCTGTAACTTTCAGAAATTTGACTATGCTGCTTCTTTGTGTGAATTTCTTTAGGCTGTCATCTTTGGGATTTGTTTGGCTTCTTAAATCTGTAGGTTTATATTTTGGCAAATTTGGAAAGTTTTCAGCTATTACCAAATTTAGCTATTATCAGCTATTATCCAATTCACCTTGTCTCCCTTTCCTTGTACTTCAGTGTCTCAAATATTAGATGTTTTGTTTATTGCCACAGTTCTTTGAGGCTATTTTTTCAGGGTTCCCTTATTTTCTGTGTTTACTTTGATACTTCCTTCTGTCTTCCATTACCGAGTCTCTCTCCCATCCTTTCTGTTCTGCTCTTGAGCCCATCCTTTGAGTGTTTTGTCTTGGTTATTATAGGTACTAGTTGTAAAATTTCCATTTGACTCTATTATAAAAATCTGTTGAGACTGAATTTTTCAGTGATTACTCATTGAATTGTTTTTCCAATGACTCCTAAACTCTGGCAGATAATGCTGAATTCTGCCATCATACTGTCATATGTCTTTTTAACTCAGGTTGAGCTTTTTATGGTTTTTAAATACAGTGAATAGTGAACTTATTAAACCTGAACATTTTGAGTTATGTGATAAGACTTTGGATCTTACTTTAAAGCTGTCTTAAGTGGTTTTAATGAACTCTAGCAGGGTAAATTGGGAGTGCTATCTCATTAATGCCAGGCGGGAACAGAGTAGAAGTCCAGACTTTCCCCCTTGGCCTCTGCTGACACTTGAGGAGGAAAGGTCTTGTCTTTCTGCTGGCAGCAGTGGGTGTTTTGACTACCAGCAGGACTTCCAGTGATAGCCCCCTGGCTAGGGAGGGAGAACTGCCTGCCTTGTTATTGCTCTCTGCATGCCTCTACTGGTGCTGGAGTCAGAGAGGCTTGCTTCTTTTCCATTAGATGACAGTGACAGTTCTGGTTGCCACTCAGAATCTTCTTATACTGCAAGTGGGTATTTTTCTTACCACCTGCCAAACATGAAAGTCTAGCTCTCTACTTAGCTTTTGTTGACCCTATCTCAGGTACTTCAGTATAGCTTAGTGAGGCTGGAAGTCTTGGCTTTCTGCTCCACTCTTGTTGCTGTAAGTAGAGTCACAGAGTTTTCTGTTGTTTCTCTACCATAGTACAGGGACTATTGTCTAAAAGTATTCTGTCTTGCCAGGCTTCCGCTTTCTTGTTTCACTAGAGAACAGACTTCTCCTGGCTCTTTTCTGTCTGTGCTTGTTGGGTGTCTGAGTTGTTGGTTTCTGCAGCTTCAACTCTGGGGTATGTAAAAAGAGAGCGTGTCATTCTTGAGCCTGGGTTCCCTAGCTTGCCTGCCTTCTCTCTGCCTTTGATTTTTCTTTTTCTCTTTTTATTATGTTTTTTCCACAAATTTCAGTTGTACTTCATAAGAAGATTAGGGACATGGAAATCCTACAATTTTAAAGGAATTTAAAACTAAAGAACATTGTTACAGTTCAAAGCACTGTAGTTATATTGCCATGTTGTTTCTGATAACTAAAATTACAGAAGGTAAACTAATGAAAAATGAGCATATGCTTTTAAAATACATTTTTATCATGATAAAGTATCATTTCATGTTATGGATAATTTGCTTTTAGTTTTTAATATGTTCTTATTATGGATGATTTTTTAAATGCCAGTTCCTGCCATAAATGGGCTTTATGCACTGAGCTTTTTATTGATATCAGACATTCAGAAATCTTACTGTAGGACATAATTATACATTGAAAGAATAAAATATATTCTTATATGTAACTTAAAAATAAAAGTTTGAAATATAGTAATTAAAAGTAGAAACTATGTTATGATTTGCAAAAAGTTACATAGTATCAGGACCCTGTGTAATCTAACAATTGTGAGGTCTAAGTTTAATTCTTTTTCTGATATATTTCTTATGAACTTAAGGAAAAATGATAGAAGTATATGTTATTTCAAATGTTTTAAGTGGAATTAACATAGCACATTTAAAAATATGATTGATGAAATGTAATTTTTTTGATACTGTTGTATTCTTTGATATACAAAACCTTAAAAAAGTGTCATTTTCAATTGTTAGCCAAGTGATAGAATTTTGTTTGCTCCCAAGTATTATTTGGTAGTTGCAATAAATTATCACAATATTATTGATTTTGTAATTCGCTATTACATTTTAAGTTTTAAAATAACTTTTTTGTAGGTATAGTGAAGGTGAAATTCGATTTAACTTAATGGCCATTGTATCCGACAGAAAAATGATATATGAGCAGAAGATAGCAGAATTACAAAGACAGCTTGCAGAGGTTTGTGGTCCTCTGTGTGTGTGCGTGCGTGCATGTGTGCGTGCGTGTGTGCATTAGGGGGGTTGGAAGGGAGTATGTAAGTAGTATATATAGACACCAGAAGAGGATCTGATGTCCTGTTCTTATCACTCCATGCTTTATTCTTTGGAGACTGAGTCTTTCACTAAACTTGGAGCTAGGCTCGTGGCCAGCAAGCCCCAGTAATCCTCCTGTCTCTAATACTGTCCCCCCCCACCTTATCTCCCCCTCAGCACTGGTGGTGTGTGCATGTGTGCAGCTATTTCTGACTTTTTCTGTGGGTTCTGGGCTCTGAACTTAGGTTATATTTACATAGGAAGCACTATTAGCCATGAGCCATCTCTCCAGCCCCTGTGGCCATATTTTTAAGTGTAAAATTTCCGGGTAGGTATTTTCTCAGGGGAAAAATGTATTTTCTTCCTTATTAAATAGATTTAATTGAGTGTTTTGAGTAGAGGTTAAGGAAAATATTCTGAGTTCATGCTACCTAGATTTAGTTACTAGCTTTTCCACTTGATATGTTTCTCAGTTTTTTCATGTAATATGAGGATAATAGTGTTGACTATATAATGTTATCATGGGAATCAAGTTTATGTAGCACTTAAAACAATGACTAACACAGAAAATGGAAAATGATAAATGTTAGCAATGAATTATTTTTGCTGTTTGCTGTTGTTTCATTATGTAATTAAGCAAGTTATACTATATTTCTCCAAGGGTTATTTGGATATATGTAGATTCACATACAGTCTTTACTTGTCTTTATGATTACCTTTCTACTGTAGTATGATTAAAAAGAGAGCTAATAGTAGAGAAAGTTTTTTTTTTTAATTCTTTGATCATATTTTTAAGACTGTTGAAGCAGATCTTTTTGTAACTTAATGGATTGTACAATATAGTATATTACAATATTGCTAGATTTTTAGGTAAAAAAATCATATGTATTATCACAGAACAGAGACATGAAAGGTACTGTTTAGGGCTTTACTCTTTAATTTTGCTGTTATTAGGCTGGTACTCTTTCGAGCATTGGGTTGAGACTTGAAAGTAATTGCACTGTGTTAATCATTTAAAAGTAGCCTGGACTTAAGCCTCAGTCATTAGGGTGTGCTATTTCTTTTTCTTACTCCTAAGGAGGAACCCATGGATACAGATCAGGGTAGTACTGTGCTAAGTGCTATTCAGTCAGAAGTTGCCAGAAACCAGATGCTTATTGAAGAAGAAGTACAAAAATTAAAAAGATACAAGGTATGCATTAAAAAATATCTCTATAATGTTTTAGTAAAAAGCAGTACATTTTGAGATGAAGGTATGTTGAATGTTTGAAGTTTTTTCTCTCATCATTGATCAGGTTTCAGAATAATGTGTTGTTGCTCTAGTTTCCTGCAAAGATTCATTTTTTAAATGGTATTATGAACAGATTTTTAATGTATTTAGATGCTTCAGAAGTTCACTGTATTTACTGTTTTTATGGATGCCCAATATCCCATCTTTGTACATAGGAGACAGCTTGGATCTCCTGTCTTTTTGAGTGTTAGTCTCTGGTAGTTTCCATGCTTTGTAGTGTGGAAAGATGCTTCAGACGTATCCTGTACATTGCCTGATTTGGCCTTGGAGTTAGGTGTTTTTTCAAAAAGTCCCAAGTTTCCATAGTGAAAAATTAATTTTGATTTTTGAGACAGTCTCAAAATATAGCCCTGGCTGGCCTATAACTCACTGTGTAGACCAGGCTAGCTTGAACTTCTGGTGATACCCCTGTCTCTGTCTCCCTGAGTGCTGGGATTACAGGTACATGCCACTGTTGACTAGCTGAAAATTATTTTTAAAAACCATTATCTTCTTGTCAAGGAGACTCAGTACTCCTGATGGTCACTGTTTCTAGACCTTTCCTAAGCTTAAGAAATAAATTTTTGGTTCTTATTTTGTTTTAGAAAAGAAAATACAATGTGGACTTATATTAATATTCAAGTTTTATGTTAAAGCATTTCTGTTAAGCTGAAAATTTTGGTTCCTTAATAATTTGTTTGCTTTATGTGTAATAGTACTAATAGTTTTTCGACTTAAAAAATTTTTTTTTAGCTTTCAATGAATTTCATTATGATATTTTCATACATATGTGCCAATGGTGCTAATAATTGAAGTTTTTTCTTAGGTTTCTTTATTCTTTAGAATAGATTCTATTTTAAATGTATAACTAAATCCCTATGCTTTGAAAATCACTTACCACTTTTTTTTTTTTTTTTTTTTTTTTTGTCTCTTGAATTTTGCTTTAAAATTTTTAGGTGTTTGAAGTCATTGTTTAATTTTTGTTATATCAAATATTTATGCAATTTTACCATTCTCCTTGATGTACGGTCTATTAAGTACACTCTTTTCTGAAAGAGTGCAAAGAAGAGGGAACTTTGACTGTGCATGCCTGTAGGGTATTTGTTGTGTGGTTCTAGTAGGACAGTATTCCTTTTTGAAGCTTGAAGGCAAGACTGTACATTTTTCTTTTTGTTGCTCACCACAGTGTTAGCACAGTCCTTCACATTATACTTAACAGCTAACAGATAACTGTTAAAGAAATTCAGGGGACCATAGCTGAATCTGTAGTATAGTAGGATTTCTCAGTTGAGAATGGTTGGGGTCTTTAGGAAAAGGAAGGGCCAGGTTTATGGAGATGGGAAGGTAAGAGATGATGACTTCAGCCATTGTCTTCATTTCCCATTTCCCATAATAATAAAAAGGAGCCCAAACTACCCATGGCTTAATTTTAAGAAACTGTAGCATGTTACATCTAGTTCAAAAGAGATGTAAGGGAATGTTGAAATGATTTACAAAGGGTAGAAGCTTTTTACTATGGAAAAGATTCGTTAGTCAAACAGAATATACATCTACTAAACAGAATTTGCAATAACTCAATGATCTTGAAAGGCTAGAGTCATATAATTTGGGAGAGTGTTCTCTAGTTTTTCTATGAAGCACAGATTTTTCTCTACCATTTACCCATTTGGTAAAAAACAATCCCCAAGAAAAATTGTGGATAGTCAAGAAATAAAATTGGTCTCATCAGGTTTGGCTTTATTAGCTATGTAGTTGTAGCAAAAGTGTTAATTTATCTCATTATACTTATAAGGATACTTTATAAATGTCCTTAGAATGGACTTTCAAAGACTTGTTTGCTAAGCTGAGGCAAAGAAGCCGTACCTAAGAAACATTTGCCATGTTTTATCGTACAATCTTTATTGTCAACAAGAATGAATCTTATTTCTAATTGTTTGTGAGAATGAAGGAGTTTATTCCATTGTATTTTAAGTTGGATACCAAAAGATTATATCAGAAAATGAGCAGAAGTGTGTTTTATTTTCAGATTGAAAATATCAGAAGGAAGCACAACTATCTGCCTTTCATTATGGAATTGTTAAAGACGTTAGCAGAACATCAGCAGTTAATACCACTTGTAGAAAAGGTAAGTATTTTCCTGATAGCTACTCAAAATAAGTTTAGATTCTCCCTAAGTATTGTTTTTGGCATGAATGGAGGTCAAATTTCTTGAAGCTTTTATAATTTTATTCTTTTCTTATCCCTAGTGTTTTGTATTCTAAGAGAATTAGCTTAGCCTAATACTTTAAAACAAAGTATTGCCCCAGTACTTTAGCCTTCCAGAATTGTTTAATGTCTGGAATTCAGCATGTTCTGTACTGAACTAAAACATTACTTCTTTCTCTGAACGAAAACAATTTTTTTCATGTTAATAACTGAAATATTAGATCTTTCCTAGTTAATTTTGTAAAATTTTGAATTGATGCCATAGAATTTAGAACTAGAATGGACGTTGATGGGGTAAAGGAATAGTCTGGACCAAGAAGTAGGTTTTCTTATTCCTAATCTAGATTCGTTCCTATGGAAGGATGACTAACGTAAATAAGTAGAAAGTTCTGATTTCTAAGATTTATCCTTCAATTTTAGGTACTTAATAAAATATTTGTGGAATAAATGAAGTACATTTAAATTGTTTTTAAGTTTATATTGTAAATCAACATTTCTGAAATGACCATCACTGGATGCTCTTTAAAATACATGTTACCTGGCCCCCTTCCCAGATACTGTCATATGGGGGAAGGAATCTTTAATAAGTTCCCCAAGTGATTCTAATGCAACTGATCTGTGTACCACATTTTGAGAAACACTTTGAGAAGACACTACTAGGCAAATAAAAATTTGGACCATTAATTTAAAGACAAGAATACATGGTAGGTATATTTTTCTTATTAATTTTAAAGTTTAAAAAGCAAAGATAGATTTTGTCCCAGATATTTCATATTCTACATTTCAAATAATGAAATTTGGCTTCATAATATTTTTGTGTTTACTTTATTTCCTGAAATATATGACCCACTTTTTAACATTAAATACAAAATTCTTGTAGGAGACTATTAAATCTTTTGTTTTTTCACATAGGCTTTTCTGTTTGTGCTTCTGGAGGTATTCTAAGAAGGAAAACTAGTTTTTAAACATGTTAACAATTAGGGCTCTGTGGTCTTCAAAATTGTTTGTTAACAGAATACCTACATATGGTGTTCTTTATATGAAAGACCATGAACTATTTCTCTTTTAAAAATCTAAATAAGAGCCAGGTGTGGTGGCGTATGTCTGTGATCCTTGCATTTGAGAGGTGGAGACAAGAGGATTAGGAGTTCAGGGTCATCAGCTATGTAGCTCAAGGTAAGCTTGGGCTACAAGACCCTGTCTCAAAAAAAAAAAAAAAAAAGAAGGAAAGTCTTGATATAAAAAGGAGCACAGTATAACAGTCTAACAGATCTTGATATTAAGCCCAGATCTGTCACTTAATACTGTTTTGTCTTGGATATATTCTTTGTAATATAAAACTTTATGGTACTGGAGAGATAGTTCAGCAGTTAAGAATGCATACTGCTCTTTCAGAGGATCCAATGCCTCTGGCCTTTGTGGGCATCTGCACCAGGTGCATATATCCTCATACAGACATATAATTAAAAATAATAAAAAAAAAAATTCAAATAATATATGAAAAACGTGCAAAAATCATGTTGTCTGTGTGTGTTTATCAGATTGCAATTACATAAAATCTCAATAATAAATAAAATTTCTTGTTAGGGACCTATATATAAATTGTCACTTTATGCAATGCAAACTTTAAAATTTGTCTTTAAATACAGTTTTTTTGTGCAGATTAAGAAAAATTTTGTCTGATTTTTGTTTTGATGACTGTATATCCTCAATTTTTTTTTGAGAGCCTAGAGAGCAACAACTTTTCATCTTTGTTTTAGAACCACATTATTTTAGGCACAAGGTGGCAGTATATGAATATGTAATATTAGTGTAATACCAGCACAATTGACTTTTGTCTTTGCATTTTTTTAAAGGAAGGTTGTTAATGACCTTCTAGTTTACTGATTTCTGGAAAATTTTTAATTAGCTGTATTACACAAGCACTATTGAGGTACACTTATTCTTTTTATATATGTAATATATAATAGGTTTTTTATTTTATTGAATTTTTGTGCATTTCATATAACATATCTTAATCATACTTAGACCCCCTCCCTTGCCACCCTCCGTATTTTATGCATTCTATCAGATGTTAAGGCCTTATTAAGTCAAGTTTGTGTCTCCAGATGTCCCTCAGTCTGAGTTCATCCATTAAAGCCTGGTCAAACTATCTAACATCACTCCCTTGAAGAAGACCAGCTCTCCCTCACCAAGTAGTGATCAGCTACAAATAGTTCTCAGCTAATGTTGGGGCTTCTTACCCAATTTCCTACTTCTCTGTTGGTTTTTTTTCTGATTTGAATTTGCATGGGTCTTGTGTATACTGTCACTATTACTGTAAGTTCATATGAGCAAGTTCGCAGCCATCTGGAAAACTGTTTCTTTGTGGTCATCTCCCACTCCTGGCTCTTACAATCTTTCCACCCCATTTTCCTCGATGGTGTCTGAGCCTTTGGTGGCAGAGGTTTAATACAGGAGTCCTACTCAGGGACATGCACTCTCCATATGTTTTTCTATAGGATCTGTGACTTCTCCAGCCATGTGTATTTAGCTGTTTACAGTCCCACACGTGAGTTCCCTTCCATTGAGTGGGCTTTAGGTCCAATTAGATAGCTGTTGATTATTCCCAAGATAAAAGTATCACTACTGCACCAGTAGAGATATTTTTGCTTTGCTGGTCATTGTTGTGGTTATTAGGCCTTATAGCTGGGTTGGATCCTTGATTGGTTTTCTGCCTTAGCAGCTTGCATAGTATCCTCTGATACTGTAAGTGTGAGTCTTCAGGGAGGAGGTTTCCAGGTCAGGTCCAGATCCATCGCTCCAAGTCCTTTGTCTGAAGTTCAAACCAAAGTTTCTCCTGCCTGACTCTTTTGTTATATAGACTTTGAGTGGTACACATCACCAATATGTATAGTATATATATTTTTCATTAGACTTTTGAACTAATGCATTTTCGTCTGGCTTTTCACACCAACTAAGTGTTATCTCTTCTTTCTCTCCTCCTGTATAACCCTCTCTCCTCCCTTCTCATTTATTTTCCCCATTTCCCCTTTGATAAGGCCTGTCTCCTGCTATCCTTCTCTCTTGGGCTCCTTCTTTCCCTTTATCTCCAATGGTTCATTTCCATTTTCTGGCTCCTGTGGTTATATCAGGATATATACTCACATTTAAGGATTTGGTGCTAAGTTCCATAAATGAGAGAATATATGTCACTTGTTTTTCTGAGTCTGTATTACTGCACATAGTATAACAACTAGTTCCATCCTTCTACCTGCAAGTTTCATGATTTTGTTTTTCTTTGCTGCTGAGGAGAACTCCTTTGTGTAACTGTACCACATTTTCATTATCCAGTTGAGAGATGTTTAGGTTGTTTCCATTTCTTAGCTATTGTGAAAAGAGCAGCAACAAACAACTGCACAAGTATCTCTGCAGTAGGATGGGTCCTTTAGGTGTATGCCACGGAGTGGTATAACTGGATTATATGGTAGATTTATTTTTAGTTTTTTAAGAATTCTCCACACTGCTTTCCAAAGTGGTTGCACCAGTTTGTAAACCTACCAGCAATGAATGAGAGTTCCTCTTTCTCCGTATCCTCACCAGCATTTGATATTATTTAATCTCTGGATCTTAGCCATTCTTGACTGGGTTAAGATGAAATTTTAAAGTGGTTTTGATTTGCATTTCCCTAATCACTAAGGATGTTAAACACTTTTTCAGGTTTTTCTTAGTCATTTTTATTTCTTCTTTTTGAGAGCTCTGTGTTCCGCTCCATAGCCTATTTTTTTAATTGGGTCATTTGTTTTCTTTGTATAAAGTTCTTTGTATATTCTGGATATTAATCACCTGTCAGATGTGTAGCTGAAGATTTTCTCACACTCTGTGGGTTTCCTCTTCACTTCCTTGGTTGTTTTTTTTTTTTTTTTTTTTTTTTTTGCTGTACGGAAGCTTTTTAGTTTAATGAGGTCCCACTTTTTGATTGTTGACTTTATAATTTCTGAACAAATGCTGTCCACTTTAGAAAGTCCTTTGTTGTGCCTATATCTTGTAGGGTACTGTTTATATTTTCTTCTAACAGTTTCAGAGTTTTAGGTTTCACATTCAAGTCTCTGGTCCATTTGGAGTTGACTTTTGTGCAGGGTGATAGCTATGGTTCTAACTTCATACTTCCACAGATGAAGATCCAATTTTGCCAGCATCATTTGTTGAAGATGGCTGTCTTTCTTTCCTCTAGTGTGTGTTCTTTGCACCTTTGTCAAATATCAGGTGGCTAAAATTGCATGCACTCATGTTTGGGTCTTCTATTTTGTTCCATTGATCTATTTGCCTGTTTTTGTGCCAATACCATGCTGTTTTTATGAGTATAACTCTGTAATAGAGTTTAAGATCTGGTATGGTAATTGCGCAGCATTGCTCTTTTTGCTCAAGGTTATTTTAAATACCTGGGGTCTTTTGTGTTTCCACATGAATTTTAGGATTTTTTTTTGTTCACTTTCTGTGAAGAATGTCATGGGGAATTTTTTAGGATTTTTTTTTTGTTCACTTTCTGTGAAGAATGTCATGGGGAATTTGATTGGAATTGCATTGAATCTATAGATTACTTTTGGTAGGATGGTCATTTTCACAATATTAATTCTACCAATCCATGAGCATGGGAGGTTTTTCCATCTCCTTTTGTCTTCCTCAATCTCTTTCTTATAAAATTTTCATTGTAGAGATCTTTAATGTCTTTGGTCAGGTTTGTTCCTAGATTTTTTTTTTGTTGTTGTTGTTGTTGTTGTTGAGGCTACTGTGAATAGAAGTGTTTCCATGAGTTTTTTTCACTGCTTGTTACTAGTTTATAGAAAGGCTACTGTTTTTTGTAATTTGATTTTGTAACCTGCCACTATGCTGAAAGTGTTGATCATTTCTAGCAGTTTTCTAGTACAATTTTTGGGATCTCATGTATAATGTATCATCTGCAAATTTCTCTTCTTTTCCAGTTAGTACCCTATTAATTTGTCTTACTGCTCTAACAAGAGTTTCAAGCTATATTGAAAAGGAGTGGGGACAGTGGACATTTTTGTCTGGTTCCTGAATTTAATGGGAATGCTTCCAGTTTTTTTCCATTTAGAATGATGTTGACTGTGGATCTGTTGTATATAACTTTAATTATGTTGAGCTATGTTCTCTCCAGTCCAATTCCTGTAGGACTTTTATCATAAATCATGTTGGATTTTGTCAAAGGCCCTTTATGCATCTATTGAGATGGCTACATGAGTCTTGTCTTTAGGACTGTTTATGTGATTTATTACACACGCACACACACACACACACACACACACGCACACATATATGTATGTATATATGAACCACCTCCATACCCCGTATCTCTGGAATCAAGCCAACTTGATCATGGTGGAAGGTCTTTTTGATGTGTGTATATATGTGGTTTGTAAGTATTTTGTTGCAAATGTTTGTCTTTGTTCATTAGGGATATAGATGTATAGTTTTCTTTTTGGGGGGTTGTGGCTTAACCTGTTTTCGATATTATACTAACTTCATAGAAGGAGTTTGGGAATTCTCAGTTTCTATCTTTTTGAATAGTTTAAGTAATAGATCTTTTTTGAACTCTGCTGTGAATTCATCTAGGGCTGATGTTTTTTTTTGAATCGGGAGGCTTTGTATTACTGCTTCAATTTTGTTAATTTTTTATGGGTATTTTTAAACTGTTGATCTCTTCTTG